TGCCATGTCTGGTTCGATCCTGTTTAGAGTGGACCATGTTTTACGTGGAAGATCAAAACCTGGTGGCTTGTGGGTAATACAGGGCATGTTATTTTGCCATGCATTCCATTCTTGGGACCATGCATTCGTGATGTTGAACTCCTCATGTATCATTCTTGCCGTTTTCATTGGTGGTTTTCTAGAACGTAGACGGGTATTTCGTGCATCCTCGGTATCTTGGTGGATCGGCAGGTTTATATTGTTCATGATCTTTTTGTATTCACGTGTAAGTGCGTCAACTCGTCGTAAATGTGAAGGTGGAATGTGACTTAATACTGGAAGCCATTGGGTGGGAGTTGATTTAATTGTAGCAGATATCATCCTCATAGTGCTGTGCAGCTGAGTGTCGACCTTTTTTACGTGTGGACTGTGTAGCTAAACTGGGGCACAATATTCAGCGGTTGAGAAAACAAGGGCTAAAGCAGTAGAGCGGAGAGTGGAAGCCGATTGCTCCCCAGGTGGTACCGCAGAGCTTCTGTATAATGTTATTTCTTGTACTCAACTTTTGGGCAGTTTTTTGTTAAATGCTCTTTGAATGATAGCGTTCTGTCTAGTGTTACGCCCAGGTGTTTTGTTGTGGGAAAGTGTGGTATTTTCAAACCGTATGTTGAGTTCCTTTCCAGCAAGTTTATTGTTCAGGTGAAAGCATCTTACTTCTGTTTTGGATGCATTTGGTTCAAGCCGCCACTTGCGAAAATATTTGCTCAATATATATAACTCTGCCGTCAGAACTTCTTCAGATGTTTCTAGTGTTCGGCATTGTGTAGTGAGGGCCCAGTCATCGGCGTATCCGAACTTTCTTGATTGTGTTTCTGGCATATCTGCTAAATATAAGCTAAATAGTAATGGAGAGAGCACTGACCCCTGTGGTAGGCCATTTTTAAGTTTCTTTGGTGGGCTGATATCTGTGCCCATCACTACTTGAAACATTCGGTCGTTGAGCATGCTATCTATTAAACGTGCTATTTGTTTACAGGGAATTGCACGGAGAATTTTGTATATAAGGCCCTCTCTCCATACTGTATCGTAAGCTGCCGAGAGATCAATAAATGCCACTGAAGTTTTAAGTCTTCTTTGAAAACCCGCTTCGATGTAGGTGGTGAGTGACATGACCTGGTCCGCGCAGCTTCGTTCTGGTCGAAAACCCGCTTGTTCGACTGGGATCACCTGGAACAGTTCTGTACTGATTCTATTATATATAAGCCTCTCTAATAGTTTGTAGATGGCAGAGAGAAGCGCAATTGGTCTGTAGTTTTTTGGGTTGTCAGCGGGTTTGCCTGGCTTTGGTATGGCTATTATCTTAGAGCGCTTTAGTTCTTGTGGGATATTTCCAGTTTCCATGATGTCTGTGAAAAATCGAGCCAACCAAAGTTTCGTATACTTGCCACAATTTAGTAGGAATTCAGGGTGAATATTATCAAATCCTGGTGCTTTTGCTGGCTTAACATCTTTTAGAGCCCCTGATATTTCTTCGCTGGTGAAGGGGAGGGAATGCTTCGTTTCTGTGGCTATATGTTTTAAAGTTTTAAGTTCTCTCTTTACGTAGATAGTGTGTGCTTTATCCTTTGGTGCTCTGGATGTTTTTACTATATGTGATGCTATTGCATCTGGCTTTACGGCTGCCTCTTGGCGTTTCGTACGGACACCACTCCCTAATTTTCTTAGTAATGACCATGTCTGTCTGCTTGATTTCTGGAAGTTTAGACTTTCTACTGTTTCGGTTCACTTTTGTCTTCTAGCGGCGTCTAGGCTGTACAGTAATTCATCCGCTATTTCTTGGTCGCCAGTTTCAAGAAAGCTCTGATATAGTTCCTCGCTATTTTCCGACCAGCCAGGAACATATTCTTTGCGATATCCTCTTGGTATGTGTTTTTTGGCTACACTTAGCACGACACCAACAAATCTGTGGTAGTTTTTGATATTCGGTGTAATCCACCCTAGACATTTATCGTCTTAGCGTGATAGTAATACTACTGGTCTAACTTTTTGTCGCTGGGAACCTTGCAATTCAAAATGGCATTTCGTAATTTTATGCTCTATTGATAGTTTCGTTGTAGAAATTTCAAGCAATTTCACTAAACAAGCAAGTTTTGTCAATCAATGTACCGTCTAACCAAAACCCACTGTCGTTGGAAGCGCATCGTTGGAAGAGGAACTTGTGGTGGAAGTGCGTGTTTACGAAGCGCTGACAGGACCGAGGCCATGCATATCGTTACGTTATGTTTCGTATATAGTCTAATGTAGCAATTTTGTAATTGATACATTAGGGGTTATGACGTTAAAAATTGGTCCCAACGGGAAACGATTTGTCACTCCAACGTTGTTAGTGATGTTAGTCAGGTTGTAGCAGCAAACTAAGGTTTGCGGTTACAGGTTGACAACAGCAGCTCAACGTTGGGATGTTACAAATTGAGCCTCGAAGGGTTACAAATTGGCACCCAATGAATATTTGTTGGCACGTCATAGATTGACGTCCAATGAATGTTCGTTGGAACGTTACAAATTCGCGCCCCACGTTGGGCGTCAATTTTAACGTCATAACCCCTAATGTATCAATTACAAAATTGCTACATTAGACGTTATACGAAACACTCCCTGGCTAGCTCACTCAGGACGTGAATATGGCCTACTCTGGAGCAACACACACAAACAAGTAAAAAGAAGAAACAATACACAGTTAAATCAACACATGTTTATTAATATATAATATATAATATAAAAAAAAAAACAGAAAAATAAATGTTAAGTATCGTATTGAATTTAAATAAAAATTATTCGACTTCTTCTTGCTACAGTGTTACATTAGGTATATGAAAGAACACTGTTTGTCACCAAATCCTAAGTTTTATCCTGGTCTTTTCTGCTCTGGTTGTTAGCAAGCCATGTTGTTAGTTCTGGATTTTCTTGTCCCGGAGTCAACTCTCCTATTGGATTGATGGTTCCATTCTCAGGCCGGTTGGTCTTCTGGATGTTAATAGAATTTGAACCGCACCTGAGAAATGTATCCCGGAGGTTGACTCCTTAATCAGGAGACGACACAACAATTGGTTATTATACTTTTACAGAAGTCATGAAGAAAATCCACATTTTTAGAAAATAGAAGTCTTTATATCGACTTTTGTATCGAACGGGAAGGGCGAAATGTCAACAGCATTGAACTAAACAGAGAATAAAGATGGAACCTCTCGTTCCAAAGTAACAGAAATAGAGATGAAAATAAAATTTACTCTTTAGAAACTTGAGTAAAAGATAAAAATGATGATTATTAAGAAAATAGGAGAGGTAGATACTGAAATACTGTAGATATATATAAAGGAGATAGATTTGGACGCCAACTGGTTTTTATACCAAATACCAGTAAAAATGAAAAGAGAATAATGAATCAATTAAGTAACGACATAATTCTGATACAATCTATATCCTAGAAAATATATAGAAAAATAAGATATACAATGGAGGATATAGAAGAATATGAATTATGACAGAAGATATGGAAATTGGAGAATATAATTAACGAAATATATTAACATAAGAAAGAAAGCAGGCAATGTAGCAGTTATAACGCTACAATCATATAATTGCTCCAAAGATCTATTTATCAGCAATATACCCTTTTGGAATGGGATAACAGATGTGTGTTTTCCTACAGTTATAGTGCCAATTATTTTTGATACTTCCGTCAATAACTGTTTCTGGTTTTCCAAATATGTTCCAAAAGCATTTTTTGTTGGGCAATTTTCCGTTAATTTTGATCGTGAGTTAAGTAGATCAAACCAATTGTTTATTAATATTATAAATTCTGAACCTTTTCCCAAGGCGCATGAACAGGCATTAAATTATTTTTACCACAATATTCAACTGCTTTAGAAACAGAGCGTGATAGTAATACTACTGGTCTAACTTTTTGTCGCTGGGAACCTTGCAATTCAAAATGGCATTTCGTAATTTTATGCGCTATTGATAGTTTCATTGTAGAAATTTCAAGCAATTTCACTAAACAAGCAAGTTTTGTCAATCAATGTACCGTCTAACCAAAACCCACTGTCGTTGGAAGCGCATCGTTGGAAGAGGAACTTGTGGTGGAAGTGCATGTTTACGAAGCGCTGACAGGACCGAGTCATTGCATATCGTTACAATGTAAAGTTTCTCCTACGTATTTCAGGAATTCGGTCGGTATGTGTTGGAGCCTGGAGCTTTTGTTTGTTAATTGCTTGCAACAGTTCGTCTGATTTTGGTTCCTCTGTCCAAGGGATATATTCTCCCCATGTTTTTCCTCTTTATATATGCTTAATAATTTTTTGAAATATTCTTGCCACGTTTGAAGCAGTTTTTCTTCGTTAATTATTAATTCATGATTATTTTACCTGGGTACGGATACGCAGTTAGGTGTGAAGTCTCTCTTTACATTTAACACCGATCTGTAAAATGCTCGGACATTGCATTGCAAATGTTGACATGTTCAATGTCAAGCTGTTAATCACCCAATACGAAGACTTGATGATCTTTTGCACCTTCCTGGGAGCAGTAGAAAGAGAAGACCTGGGGGGACATGTTGGTGACGGGAATTTATATTGGTATAATAAACCACGATAGAAAATTATTTAGAAATGTATTTAGAGAAGTCAACCCCACATAGGGATACAGGGAAAGGGAATGATGATGTATATATTTTTAATGTGTGCGGTAATAAGAAAAATTAGGGTCCAGTATTACAGAAAGCTGTTAAAAATAGATAGCAAACGTTCAATTAAAAAACAAAAAACAATATAAGTAAAATAAATGTCACAAATATAACATTACTTCCCCGGTATATTGTTGTTTATATTGTTATACCATAAACCTACTTACTGCATAATTAGTTAAAGTTATTTACTACTGTCATCAACCGATTGGTTAGCTAACCTGTACATGTTTTAAATATTTTTATTTATATAATCTAATAGGTATTTCCATTTATTAATCGAAAATTATAAATTCAGTCTCTACAATACTAGAAAAGATATCACTGAACACTAACCTAAATAAACACAACGGTAACAACTGATAAGATTAAAAATGTAAAGGTATAGGTAACTGAAGTACGATGACTAAAGATAGGTTAGGTGAGCTTCTTAATGTAAGTATATATAAATAATTTTCTATATAAATAAATATGAATAAACAATCGATTAATTAAACCTTTTAGGCACAGAGAACAAGCAGTCGTAACAATGAAGTGAAAGTAGACATTATCACAGTAAGTTTAAAGGAAGTATTGTTACTCGCCTTATTATCTAAGTCCTAAGTAAGCAAAATTACTATTAATATAATTATACACCCACCCATTGGTACGTCACCGGCAATAAAAAAATAATACGATACAATTATATTCGGATTGAAAATTACTTATGTCGCTTTAAAAATATGTGATACAAACTAGTTATTAAGAATTAATTACAAATCATTTACAAATCGTATAATTTGATTGGACTAAAATGGTTGTTTTCCATAAATTTTTAGAACGGAGACGTGGATAGTGCAAACCAAAATGCGAATTTACGAAAAGTTTTCGAAAGGGCTGAAGTTTTGGGACAGTGGATAGATAGTATTGAGCAAAATGTTGTCGCAATCAAACAGTATATTGGAAGGTTGGATACCTTGAGCGTTAATCATAGAGGTAAATATTTGTCATTTATCATCAAAACTATCATGTGAATTTGGTGGGGGTTGGTTCCATTGTTCATTATTATTTTATTTTTCTCGATATATTTTATAAACAGTGTAACTTTCCAGTAAATGTTTCAAATAACAATTAAGTACTACGTATATTATATCTAGGGGAGAGTAGTACACAGTTAAACAAAAAAAAAAACGTTTTTGAGTTCAAAAAATTTATTTTTGAATTAAAATGAAAATTTTCAAAGCAGTATGTTACACTAAGTCTTTCTTAACATTCTAGGGAAGAAATTCGCTAAAAATTCAAATAATGAAAAAAAAACTTAAAGAAAACATATCGAAAATTGTTTCAGTGTGTATCACAATCGGTAGGGTAGACTGGGCACGGTATTAACAATTTTTCTTTAGTGCTTCATAACATAGCTGTTATAGCTGTAAGCAACGATCAAAGTATTTGATGTGAAGTAATATTCATTTGTCTTTAAATTAATGTCAAAACCAATAGTTCAAGTAAAATAGTTTGGAGGCAATATGTCATTTAAATAAGTGTGTGCGATTGTTACAACCGACGCCATACCAGGCAGAGTTGGGTCGGATACTGAAAAAAGTATTTGTTTGAGTATCCGTATCCGGATACCGGATACGGATACTCAAAATGTATCCGGAACAATTTTAAAAAAGTACGAATACTTTCATTTCAAAATGTATTCGGATACAAGTATCCGGATAATTTTTAACGGATACTTCCTATTATACTTTGAAGGATGCTTTTTTTAAGAAGGACATAAATTATTAGTATAAAACTATGTGATATGCATGTATTTTTAATGTAATATATAACAATAAAAATATATTAAATGATGGAGAAAGAAATTAGAAAGTACTCAAAAAATTGTTTATTGCTTATGAATAATTAAAACTACAACATAAACTTATAAGGAAACATTAAATTAAAATAAAAATGCACTAATACAGAAAATATTCCAATTGCTGACGAAGTCAAGAGTGAAGTGCCTTTGAATTTGCCTTTGCAAGTACCAATACCTCAAAGTGTTCATAGCTTAAAGCTTTTCTTTTAGGCGTATCGATCATAGTTACAAAAGAGAAAAGTATTTTAACTGGTGCTGACGAAGATAAGCATGTGTTGTACTTTATTGACACCCTTTTTAAGATTGGGTATTCATTTAAGATGTTCAAATTGGTTCATTTGTCCTCCAAATATCTTAGCAACTCCAACTGTACTTTTGAAGTTTTATTATTAATGCTGAAACCCTGTTCATTCTGTGTATAATTAATAGTACAGCTGTTGTCCACTTGCTGGTCTCGAAAATTGCTGAAATCAAAAAAGTCATCCAAATTTTGATCTCCACTTTCATCTGATTCATTGCAACTTTCCAATTCCATTTTTGTTTTGGCAACAGTTATAATGCTTTTTTTATATCTTTTATACTTTTTTTTGGATTTTTTACGACATTGTACCACTTAAGCTTAAATTTAGGAAGAAGAACTGCAGCTATAATTGGATCTTATAAAATAAAACGACTTTTTAAGCTTTTAATGCACATTTTTGCTAGATGTTCTCCTCCATATTTGAATTCTGTTTGGGAACAAAGTTTCTCATATTTATTAATTAATGAAATTAAACTGGGTACCAAATATCCAACAGATACATTGTCTTCACCTTCTAACAAATCTAACGTTGAGGCCAAAGGTTTCATACATGGAAGTATAAATTTATACGTCCATGGTTTCATAACTAAACAGTATTCCTCTAGGTATAACAGTTCAGTTTCCTTAAAAGGTGCTAAGGTTAAATTTTGTTGCAAAATTGGAAGTTTTTCTTTTGCTTTAAGAATCTGCGAAACTTCATCAAAAGTAGAGGTCCATCTAGTGGAACTTTTATAACTTATTATGTTACATTTAACACACAAAAATGTCAAATTGTTTATAAATTATCAATATCTCTATTACACTGTAACACAAAACCTCGCCTTAAACGTCTTTTGTCTGTCTCAACTAAAACACAAATCACAAATGAACTAACGAAAAACTTTTTCTTCTGTACTCGGTAGACAAGAATTTGCAGGATTCTTCCTGTAAAAATCAAACGTGTTACTGCCTGAGCTTTTGATATTGAATTTGGCCAGCGTCGGACCAGCCGAGTTTTCAAATTTTAAACTTTTTAGGGGGTGTACTTATTTGTACTTGTAGGTACACTAAAATAAAATTATAAATATTAAGATGTACTTAATCTCTAATTATAATCCGAAAAATAATTTCTTCTAATTATATAGGGTACAAAAAGGGGTTCTTGAAAAGAGAGATATAGAAAATATAAAAAATAAATGTAAGTAATTAATTAAACAACGTACTTATGAAGATTTATAACTGATTAGGTAAAAACAAAGCTCCATTAGCTTATATAATAATATATTATAACGGTGACGAGTACGAAAAAGGGATTTAACATCTAGACTGAAGGAATGGCAGTGTTGTGCCTACGTTAGGTGCATTATCGGCGAGCGATAAATATTTAAAAGTATCCGAACATCAAAAAAAGTATCCGGATGCCGGATACTTTAAAATTTGATCACGGATACGGATACCGGATACAAAATTTAAAAAGTATCCAGATACAGCTTTCGGATACATAAAAAGTATCCGGATATTGTATCCGGATACAGAAGTATCCGGATACTACCCAGCTTTGATACAAGGGGCGGTTGTAACACGAATAGGGGGCAGTTGTAACATTCAAAAGTAATACATCAATCACATACATAAAATCAGTTTTATTATTTTAATCAGATTTATTAATCAAAAATACCAAACAAAATCAAAATCAAATTATTAATAAAAATTATCAAACAAAATCTGAGTTTAAACAAATTATATTTTCCTATATTTAATCAAACTTATCACAGTTGTGGCACATAATAATATCTACTCTCATCACCATAGGCCACGTGAGACCATTTTTTGCAGCTACCCTGGTACTGAATCCAACTGTCTCCAGATCGACTCGCTGAATAGATCTCTAAGCAAATAAGACGATAATATTCTTCTTCTGATGGTGGATTAGTCTTAATTTCCTTCGCTTTTCCTTTCCCTTTATTTTTGATCAATTTTTGGTCAATTTTTCAACCGTTTCTGTCGCTCTTCATACTCCTTTCTAGCAGCTTCCTTTTCTGTTTGTTTTTCGACCTCTGTTTGCTAGTTTTCTAGGTGACGCTTTAGGGTAAGGCCGTAAAGTCTCAGGCAAGAACACAGACTGTTTACTTGTAGACTGTTCTGATGGCTGACACAAAACAGCATCACGAGGAGAGGTCTGATTCCAGATTCATTGTACCAGCTTATTATTCTTGGCTAGTTTCTAGAGATGTCTGGACGGTGTTCTAGACACCGCCTAGACTTTGTCTAGGCGGTGTTTTTATTGCTTCGAACTTATATTTCAATTAGTGTAAGCATTTAATGGTCAACGAATGTTTCCTTCTTAGGATTGGCTGGGCGTACTATGATATTTGAATCACTGTTAGTAGTTAGTGTAGTTGGAGGCTTTAGTTGAAGCTCTATTTTCGGGCTCAGTTGGGCTTACTGAGCTGAATAAAAGTGGATCCTCATTCAATAACTAAGGTGATAGTGATTCGTCATCAGGTGCAAGTCTAATGTTATGTTGATTAGAAATGCCCACCTCTTCAGTAGCATTTGGATTAGGCCTAGTGAAAAATTCTTCTAATAATTTAATTTTATCTGACTCATTTATATTGACAATTCAGACATAAATTATACATTTTAAAGACGACTTTAAAATGATATTGCCAATATTGTTGAGTTGCGCTCCTGGGACGGCTTTACTTATAAGATAGTTCATTCGATTACATGAAATCAACTTTAACTTGAGAATATCCGTCAGAAAAAATAATATCATGTAATTCGTCTTTAAAAAGACAAACACATAACATGATGACAGTAAAATTTTTCTGTTAGTGATTCCACACTAAATTATGAGGAAAATCCAGGAAAAAAACCTCGTAATACTATCCCGACATGGTAAGTATTTGGTCGTGCATTTAGTTTACCTTCAATAAACACCAAACTCTGATTTTATATGTTTTGTTATTTAAAAAACATAAATGATGTATCCTCTATATGTTACTGACTTACTAATACTGGTATTTTCTTATTAATAACCTCTTTCAATATTGGTAACCAGATCCTACTATATTCTGCCGAAGAATTTGCGACATAATTGGTCTCATTTAGCATAATTAGAGCCGCTTCTTTGATTTTTCTTTTTTACCATCCGTTTCTTTTAGGACTACATTTGAATTATTCCATTGAACCCTATGTTCATTATCCCATGCGTGTTTACATATTTGAGATCTATCAAATTTTCTATTTTTAATGTAAGATTGATGTTCACTTATTCTAACATTTAATGGCCTTGATGTTTCACCTAAATAAAACTGATCGTATTCACAAGGTATTTTATAAATGCAATTCTATGTCCTTTCTTGTTCATTGTTGGGTTCGGTTTTGGACAAAATAGATCTCAACGTGTTTGTTGTTTTGAATGTAGTTGAAATGTTGAATTTATTTCCTATCCTTTTAAGTTTTTAAAATAACAATACCGTACATTAAAGAATTATCAGAAAAACGACATTCGGGCCACAACCTACTAAAGTAGCTATATTATGCTTAAATTATAAATTATTGGTATTCCTGCACATATACAGCCCACATTTTACTTTAAATTTTATTTTTTCTAAAACTGAATTAAATGACTGGGAATTCAGTCCATTCCAAATTATTTTATTTGATTTTATTCTGACTATAAATATTTTTACTCTTTTAGATCTCACCGATAAAATCGAGGCATTATTCCAAAACAACACCAGTGTATGTCACAAAATCAATGGAAAATTAAAAGAAATAGAAGGAGAAATAAAAACAGCTAATACCGACTCCGCGGAAGGCAGGATAAAATTAATACAGTTCAATACGTTAAAGACTCGTTATACGAAAATTTTTAAACTTAACAACACGGAGTTGGAAAATTTTAGAAATATTCAGAAAGAGAATTTGGAAGCGCAGCTTAGAGCTAAAGGAGTTAGAGTGACCGACGAAGAACTTGTGTCATTGCTTGATAATAAAACTGATATTCAAATTTTTACAGATAATGTAAGTTTTTAAATTTTAGTATAAAGCAATTTACGTTATTTTTGGTATAAACCACATACAAAACTTTTTATTACAGTAAATCAGCCAAAAATATGTCGACAATACAGCATCGAACTATTAGTTGACATCAGGAAAGTGTATACCTACCCATATACACATACAGAGGGTTTCCTATTTGCCATTCAAGATCAGGTTATTCCAACTAAAAATTACCTGAAATATATTGTCAAATACCTTTAGATCCAACAAGACAAATGTAGATATTGATGTTTAGTCCAAGAAACCATTCAACATCTTACGCGGGCCTTTGATCTTTTGTCGGAATTAATTACAAAGAACGCAATGACTTATTACTAGGAAAAATTCTTCACCAAAAACTAGCCAGCAAACTAGGACTTCTCTAAACCAACCATCTCTATTATTATCAATATTTCATTGACAGAATGCTTGAAAACGACAACTATAAACCTTACTGGGACCGCACTGTGCTCACAGACCAACCAGAAAAAGGGTGAAAAAAAAAATCACCCAGTACAGAGATTTAGAAATACAAATAAGGAGACAATGTAAAATGGAAAGTACCCAGACGATACCAATTTCTATCTCTATTACTGTAATTATTCCAAAGAGCCTCTCATAGAACATAATGTTAACTAATGAACATCTCTATAAGACCATAACGAAAACAGTACTGCTCTTAACATCTAGATGCGTCAGAAAATTTTTGGGAGATACTGTGACGTACCAAGTCATCTAGGGCTCGATAACACGGAAAGAAACCCACCAGAGCTCAATCTTTTTGATACCATAGGTATCTGGGATGAGTGAATTTTCCCGTTAAAAGGGTGTGAGCAGTATGGCTAAAAGTCTGGATAATATTAATGTGTGTGAATTTATTGTGTACGTTCTAGCAAAAAAACCAACAAAAACAAAATAAACAAGGTTTTGACTTATTTCTTAGTTGTAATGTTATGCCATTTTGTACTAATACTTCTTGAGCATTATTGTTAACATAAGATTTGTTTTTTTTTTAGATTATAGCGGAAACACAGGAGGCCAAGCGGATTTTGGCCGATATTGAGGAAAGACACCAACAATTGTTAAAGATAGAAAGTATGTTATTAGAAGTTAGGGATCTTTTTCTACAAATGGCTATATTAGTAGAGGCACAGGTAATTGATTGTTTTTTTAATGGCTATAGTAATTGTTTTTACTCTATTTTATATTATACATATTTATTACATATTTTAGAAAAGTTCCATCGAGGCTAAACGAAGCCGAAATGATTATAATACAATGTTATTTACCGATTAAAACACAAGAACTAACAAATCGTGCTCCTAAGATATCATCAATTAACCTATATTTGATTACTCCTGAACGTAGGCCTTCCGTAAAGTTTTCCACCTATTTCTATCTTGAGTTCCTTGCATCCAATATGTGGCGATATCCTTTATATTTTCCGTCCATCAGTCGGTGGTCGTCCTCTGCTTCGATATGCTTCTGATCTTAGTCTCCATTTCAGAATCTTTTTGGTACATCTCATCATCATTATCTTTTGCTCTACAACCCTGGGTGGGTCTTGGCCTGCTCAAGAATTAGTCTCCATTCTCCCCTATCTTTCACCCTGCCTTTCCAATTTCTGACCCCCAGATTCCTCAAGTCATCATCGACTTGAGTTTTGAATCTAGATCTTGACCTGCCTCTCTTCCTGGTTCCTACTGGCTCTTGTGGTCCATCTATCATCTGTTAATATTACATGTCCGGCCCAGAAGAATAAGGTTAGCGGGCTCATGATATGGAGAACTGACTTGGTTCTTGAAAAGCACTAAAATAGAACAATATTTGAAAACAAGAATTTACGATCAGTGTATCCTCCCTATACTTACGTAAGGTTTACGGATGTGGACACTTACCAAGTCTAATATGGATAAAATAGAAAAGGCACAAAGAGTGATAGAAAGATCAATGCTCGGGATGAGACTTATAGACAAAAAAAACAAACAAATGGATTAGAAGCAAAACCAAAGTAAAAGACGCATGAGATGGGCTGATGACATTAAGAAGATCGGAGGGCACAACTGGAACCAAGTGGCGCAAAGTAGAAAACACTGGAGTAATTTGGATGAGGCCTATGTCCAAAGTTGGATTACTTAAGGCTGAAGAAGACGAAGAAAATTCAACTGCATTCGTGACTCCTGTTCTTTTGATTTCTTGATTTGGTACTTTATCTCTGATGGTAATACCTAATATTGATCTTTCCATGGCATGTTGAGTAACTCGTATTTTATTTATTTTTCCTTGTGTCAGAGTTGGTGTTACTGCACCATATGTAAGAAGCGGTAAAATACATTGGCTAAAAACCTTTCTTTTTAAATAAACTGGAATATTAGACTTAAAAATATTGTTCAATCTACCGAAGGAGGGCCATGTGAGATCTATCCTTCTTTGTATTTCAATTGTATGATTATCTAGGATAAAGCTAATCTAATGCTTTAGATATTTGTAAGCTATTACTTGGTCTATACTATGGCTTTCAATCTGAATTTTGTCGCTGACTACAAGGTTGGTCATATGTTTTGTCCTTGAGGTGTTGATTTTAAAATTATAGCGTTTCCAGCATTTTTGTAGCTTTATCAACTCTAGAAGATATTAAAACGATGTCATCGGCAAATCTTATGTGATTCAGATCCTTTTTTGAACTTGAACATATATTTGAGTACATGTGTAAACAATTTTGGGGAGATTTTTGAATATATTCTTAGTTTTTAAGGATATTAAAGATGAACTTAGTTGCTGATTCTCAATTTATCTGCCATTTCACTGACAATTTGTTAAATTCTATTAAACAAACTTACTAGCAAACTTTTTATTGTTCTCTTTAACCTTCTACAGGGATATCATCCGGTTCAATTGCCTTACCTTTCTTTATTATACGTAGTCCCTTCAACATATGTTATTTGTGATGTTTTTTATGATTTACTTGTTAAAATTACGTAAATATTAAAGAAACTCTTATTTTTTTCAGCAAGATTTAGTAGATCGAGTCGAATATCAGGCGCATTTGGCACAAGAATACGTTGCAAAAACTCCAAAGATTTTACATCGAGCTGCTAAACATAAAATACGATATTTAAAGGTAATTTTATTTAATAAATTTAATTGAATTTGAATGTTTTATCCCCTGCCGTTAGTTAGGTAGCTTAAATATTAATTTTAATTAATATTTTTATTTCTATACACGGTGTTCAAAAACTCTCCGGACAAACGAAGACCAAAGATTCCTCAGATCTAGAAAGTTTCTCAGTTTCTAGAAAAATCGATTGCAAAATTTTTCGTTTTTTCGTCATGAGTGTTAAATTAATAGGTACCTAAACGAAACTAACAAAAGAACAAGTATCTAAAGTAGATAGTTACAAAAGATGCTCGACGTTGATGACTAGACTTCGGCAAATATGCAAATAAAAATATGCGCATAAATATGCACGTGTTTACCCGAAAATATGCAAATATTTTACAAAATATGCATACAAATAAATAAAAAAATCGTAAAATAGTAACAATTTTATTTAAGAAAAAAAGTGTACATAACTAAATATTTCCTACTATTCATTAAGATTTACATTTATTTTAAGTAACTACATCATTTTTAAGTATGAATAAACTTATTTAGAATTATGGTAACAATAACTGACCAAGTGGTGTTCAAAATTTTCTAACAAAAACTTGTGGCTTCTGTCTGAGTACATATATTTATATATGGAAAAACTTCGTTTAACATCAACTGATGTAACGGGAGCATTTTTCAAACTAACCAAAACATTTGGTTCTAAATTAATTGTTTCCGAAATATTTCCAGCTAGAACCCTGACTACTTCAGAAAGAATATGGTAACCTTTATTTTTTTCCATAGTGGCTTCAAATTTTTTTAGAATTTTTTTTCCAATATTACCTCTAACGTTCCGACAACATGACGCAAATTCTTTTATTAATGCTGTACTTTCGAACAATGACAGTTTTGGTGATTCTAACTGAGTAATTGTTTTTTGGACAAAACTAAAATTTGATTTTATAAATGAAAGTTCTTGTTGAAGCAAGTTACTCTGAAAAGTTTGTTTAGAATCCAAAAGAGATTGGGAACTTTCATCTGTTAACGTATCAATTATGTTCTTTATTTTAACAAAATGATCTGCATAAAAATTAGCTGCTTCTAACCATGTTCTCCATCGCGTTAAAATAGGTTGTGGTGGAAGAGGAATGTTAGGTAGCATTTCTTTATAAAGTTGAATTCTTATAGGAGATTTAAAAAATACTTTTTTGACACTGGATATCATGGTATTTACAAGTAACATGTATTAAATAAGATGAGATTTTGGTAAGGTATCTTCTTTAAGAACACCAATCAATAAATGAGCAATATACTTTCCTGAGGAATCAGTGGTTTCGTCTACAGATATGTAAAAATAATTATCTGCAATTTCTTCCTTAATATTAATTAACACCGACGAGTATAGCCCGTTCACATTATTTCTTCTTAGAGACCGATCACTTGGAACATTCAGTTTGCAATATTTTCTTAGAAACGAACTAAAATTTACATTTGCTAATTTTGAAAGCGGTATGTTTGCAGACACTAATGCGCGACACAAGTCTTTATTAAAAGTTTCTTGCTCATCTAATTTTTTTGAAGTAGATTCTAAACATTTAGCCATTGAAGTTTGATGTTTTCCTCCTATTTTTCCTTTTTTTGCAATGTGTGAAGCAGTTCTCACATGTTGGTCTATCTAAAATTTCTTCTCACATGCTATCTATAAATAAAAATAAAAACCTTTATTTTAACCCAACCTTTAAAATATAAAAATATACAAGGTGTTTTTGGTTAATCAAATAACTGGTTTGGAAAAAAAAAACACTCGCTAAGTGTTTTAAATGCAGTATTAATCCACAAATTAGTTTTTGTTACTAACCATTAGTACATCATATAACTTATTTTAAAATTCAACAAAAGTTTTATTTTGTTAATTCAATTACAATAAAAATAATTGTGTTTTAGAATAGCTGACTTCATAAAAAAAAGTAAAGGTGAAAAATTTTTCTAAATACACACCATTGTATTGTACCATGGACAATTTTTTCTCACTAAAGGAAGCTATTTTTCATTTAAAAACAACCTACGAGTACTAAATTTCAAGTAAATACGTTTATTGGTTTTAAAGTTATTGTTGTTATTAACTAAAAGAATTTAATTTTTTTTAATTTTAACACCCTGTATCTCGAAAAGTAAATAAGTTTGACCCCTCATTAACTATATCGTTTTGTTCAATTTTTCGGGAAGTATCTACAGTCAAACGTTGTAAGTGTCATTTGGAAACACCCTGTATGTATGAAATATTAGATATTTAATAGAAAATATTAGATACTTACAATTTTGCCACAGACTGAACAGTAGATTTTTCCCATATCCATAGACAGCTCTTTATAAGGTTTAATCCAAGTTGAAGCACTGGTTGTTTTAGGCATTATAAAATTACAATCTTCCTTTTTGTTACGCACAACGAGTGTTTACGCTTTGAATATCAAAATAAAAATGATTTACAAATCTGAGCATCAAATTAGAAATGTTTAGGTACCTAATTCAATAAACTGGGAGATTTTGGAAAATCCCTAAATTAGGAACAAAACTATTAGCCGTTTACCTGCTGTTAAGATACAATAAATTGTAGATAGATTTGGGGATTAGATCATAAAATGCAAATGAGCGAACCCTTAGCGATTATCCAATAACTGAATGCCTAAGTGACCGAGACTTTCTAAGAATGTTGAGGGCTACTTAAATTGATCTTCTTTGAAATTGTAAATGTTTTGTACCTGTAGAGATTTCGTACTTAGATCATTTCTTGATTAAAATGACTACAAAATTTTATACAAGAATTGAAATAAATTGGTATGTTTAAAAATTTTCAAATACAGTATAAAAATCTGAACTTTTATGCACTTTATGCAAACTTTTATACAAATATGCCAAAATATGAAATATTTGCATAAATATGCACAATATGCAAAATATGCAATATGCATATTTGCCGAAGTCTATTGATGACCGTTAGTTTCTATGTTTAAATTTGTCTTTTTGCTTAGAGAAGGCCGAATTTTTGCAAAATTTCCAAAGTTATTTCTAAATTCATTGCAAGCATTTTGTATCCTTAGCCAGAGTTGTGCACAATTGTGTATCGAAACGGAATAAACACTATAATCGCAAGGATTTAAATACGGCGACCCTACTGGCCAAGCAACTGAATAGCCTCTTCCAATCCAGTGGCCTTGGTAGTTATTATCAAGAAAGTCTCTTATATTCATGCTAAAGTGGGCCGGACAGTCGTCATAGAAATTATAAGTTTTGCCAAATATTCAAATAATCATCTAAGGACTCAGGTAAAACTTTTGCAGGAAGTGTAAGTAATCAGCACCATTTAAACGAGCAGGCAATTCCACAGTCCCAAGTAGATAATCGTTAACTCCTATCCAGATGTTTATGCTAAACCTATGCTGATACTTATATTATTTAACAACGTGGGGATTATCACAAACGTTTACTTTGTCTTAAAATTATCTAAGGAAACTCTAGTCTTCGTTCTTCAGGAGAGTTTCTGGACACCCTGTATATGTTTTTTCACTTTATTCCAAGTGATGTCCCTTGTCCCCTACATTCAATTTGATTTTTCATTAATATTTCCTTTTAATTTATACTTACCATATTTGCATTTCTTTTTTATTACGTTTTTTTTTAGTCATTTCATATATGTTTCCAATTTTATTTTACAATGCTCACTTTCTATATTCTTCCTGAAGTTCCCTTGCCATATATTCAAGATCATCTTAATTATTCTCTAAAATGACATGGTCATCAGCAAACTACATTCATATGGTTAACATAAGGCTTCCACCAAATGAACCCAGCGAACTCTATTTCTGGCTAGTGCTTTGATTTCAAGCCAGGTTGTCAAAAATTCCTTTGATATTATATATAAATGACACCGAAGTATTGAGAAGGGGCAAAAGTAGAGAGTCACTCAAGATTACTAATAATATATATATATATATATATATATATATATATATATAATATATATAATATATATATATATATATATATATATATATATATATATATATATAGGACAATACCACAAAATGGAACATACATTAAGAGGAAATAGATATAAAATATTGCACTCTATTATCAACTTAAAAATAAACGGCCAACATGGTATAGCCACAGAGTAAGCTCGTTGACTGAGAAATATTCGATATTGCATCAAAATACGAAAGGCAAAAGATTTAACTTTTTCATATGAAAAAAGACCGTAAAGCCTAATTTTCTTTATAAATTTTTCTAACGAATCTGCTTGGGTCTTCTTTCATTTAGAGTTTTTTAAATCTCCTTTTCCCTAAACCCAAACTTACTAAAATTATAATATCAAATGTGTACAGAAGATATGTAATAAACATCACTATAACACCAAAATAATAATCTTTCTTTTGCTAATGAGTCATGGAAATTATCATACAGATTTATACCAAGCAGGTGCCTTCAAGGCAGGTTGTCTTATACCTAACCTCAACTAACCTTAACTAACCTTATCTTACTTGTATATATAATATAGTCATAGACATATGTATAATACAAATAGACTGACTGTTGCTATAGAGGCTTGTTTCCCCAGTGCGACAGAGAAAACCAACACAAAGCAGTCCCTGCATCTCTTTCTAATGAACTGGGTTTATCGACCACATGATCTTTTCATTGGTCATTTAGGTCACGTGGTCGATAAACCTGGTCTATAAGAATCATATGTTAGAGTTATATATTTTTTTTTATTATTTTTTGTTTTTGTTTTCTAACAAACTTATTTAATTTTAGTGTAAGATTATCTTTGGAATCGTAATTCTAGTACTGATCGCAATAATAATTATAATGCTGTTTAAGTAAACTATAACCAGGTAATATTTTTTTTAAATACATTTTGAAACAAAATTTAGTTTTATTTCACCCCATCTGACTATTAACCTTTTCTGCAGAATAGTACTTCATCGAGGTTTGATGATAAGCTTATATTTATTTATATTAGTGCTGAACCAGGTAACAGGAGATTTGTTTGGATTAATAAAGCTGATTTAAAAGTTGGCTGACCTACACCTACACTATATATAGAAGATAAAGTAGGGCACCATGGAGACGGCAAAAGAAATGATAGAGGACACACATTGATGAACATAATTACTTGGAGGAGAAGCAACTATATGCAATGAATACATTGTTTAAGAAAAAACCCCAAAGAAAATAGACATGGATTAGTCCCAATGGTGAAACTAAAAACCAAATTGAGTATATTCTTTAAAGGCAAACATCCATGGTTAAAGACGTAACAGCCCTAAATCGCTTCTCAGCTGGTAGCGACTATAGACTAGTCCGATCCAAGCTGATCATTGATAGTAGATTTGAAACAAGCAAGAAAATGAACAATAATCAGAAATTGGACATGGAAAAACTAAAACAAGGAAAACAGACGTGCGAAGGGAGAATAAAGGAAATATTGCCGACCAAGGAAGATATACAACATAAACATATCGATGAAATAAACATGATGTTTACTGAAACTCCAATGGAAGTGGGTAAAGAAATAGCACAGACAACAACAAAAAAAGAAAGTTTCATATCCCAGGAAACAAACAGTCTTATGAACACAAGAAGAACATTACCAGAACAAGGGAACAGAAATAAAATGGAATACAAAGAAATAAACAAAACTATTAGAAAAAATATCAAGGAGTGTAAACGGAGAATACAGGAAGAAAAGATGGAGAAAACAATTGAAAAAATAGAGACATGAAGTGCTTAAAGCAGAACCTGGGAAACATACAAATTAATAGCATAAAGAACAAAGAAGGAGTGTAAAACAACAATATAAAAGAAATTTCACAAATAATATTATACAAATCTCTATAAAACAGAACAAAAACCAACACAAGAAATCCGTAATCAGTTAGAACTAAAAATAAAGAACGTTAACTCTGACCTACAACCAGAAATCAGTAAAAATTAAATAAAAAAGGCACTCAAAGAAATGAAGAATAACAAATCTCCTGGGAAAGATAGAATAACTGTGGAAATGCTAAAAATGGGGGGGGGGGGAGAACTACAGTGGAAGTCCTTTATGTACTAATGAATAAAATATTAAACACAACACAAATACCCACCACATGGAACGAGGCAATAACACACTACACTGTAATGTAATGTACAAACTGTTAACTAAACTACTAACAAACAGATTAACAACTTTAGATAGATAGACAACAAGTTAGATATTTACCAGTCAAGAGGGCAAGCCGGTTTTAGAAAAGGATTCAGTACAAGCGACCATCTGCTTATGATAAAAATATTAATTGAAAAGGCCAACGAATATCAAATCCCAATGTATATGGCATTTGTAGACTTTGAAAAAGCATTCGATAAGGTGTAATATTGGGCAAATGAAAACTCTTTACAAAATGGGAGAATAGACTATAGATATACGGACTTAATTTCCAATATATATGATCAAGCAACAACATCCATTAAAATAGTTGAACAAACGGAGCCTATTACGATACGGCGAGGAGTACCAGCAACAAAAGTAGGTCTACAAATGAATTATAATAAAACGAAAATTATGACCAACCAACCAGAAGAATTAATAATTACAATTGCACAAACAACTGTAGAACAAGTAAAAGAATATGTATATTTGATTTGATTTTTTTTGTTTTTTTGAAGCATCTGTAAATATTTGTATGTAATTATAGTAGTACGAATTTACTAAATTATATTCCCAAAGGTTATGGGAACTATTTTTTTTAATAATGTTTTTATAATTGGTACATTATAAGTGTAGATTTCATATTCGTTTGAGTAGCAGGCTGGTATGTCACTTGTGTTCATTGATGGTAAAAACTTTTTAACTGCTGTTAGAGCGTCAATCAAATATCTTGGGTTTTTTCCCTTCCAATATCCTTGTTGATAACCATGATATTTTTTAAGTTTAGAAGCATACTTAACAATAAGTGATTTGGAGTTGTACTAATCTCTCCTATGTATTTCGTGGCAATCCATTTAAATCTATGGTGTAAATCGATAGTTGCACTTTGGCTTGGCGAAAGCTTGGAATTGTATTCGGTTTAATTTCATAAAATTTTGTTGAGAAAAGTTATTAATTATACTAGCACCATAATCTAATTGTGATTGTATTAAGCCATTATATATTAATTTTAGTGATCTTGGGTCTGATATCCACCATACTCTACAAAGAGCGCGTATTATATTAATGCCCTTTGGGCTTTATTAATCATGTTATCTATTTGGTCTGACCAATTTAGATTGTGCTTAAATATTATACCTAAATATTTTTTCACAGAACAGTAGAGATTATATAGTCATTAATTTTTATATCTGGTGGATTACTAATAGGTCGGTTCATTTTAAACCACATAGTCTCGCAATTTGATGAGGACAGTTTAAGATTATGTGTATCAAACCATTTTGATAATTCATATAGGATAAAGTTTACCTGATTTGCTATATGGTTAAAATTACTACCTTTTGTTAAGATAATTAGATCATCCGCATATGACAGAAGTACACAGTTTTCAGGTATTATTGTATATATATTTTTAAGATAAATATTGAATAATATTGGGCTTAAAGGTGAGCCTTGTATTAGACCTTGTGTAGTATGCGATGGTCCAACCATTTCGTGATAATGATTTTTAACATATAGGGTCCTATTGTTTAAGAATTGAAATATAAGGTTATTGATGTCTATTGGAATATGAAGGTTATTAAGAAGTCTGTATAGTATGTAAATATTCACATGATCGAAAGCTGCTTTAATATCTAAGAAAGTAGCATTTACATATTGGTTTTGTGAGAAAGCCAATTGAACATAAGTATTTAAATAATTAAATTTTCATCATCATTTAAATATTCAAATTTTCAATCATTAGCTCCCATATCTTTTCTAAATCCTACTTGAAATTGGCTAAAGGTTTTTTGATTTTCCACGATCCAATCCAGCCTATTTTTAATCATTGATTCCAGTAGTTTTACTACACATGATGAAAGTCCCAGAGCCCTATAATTGTCTGCTCTTAAATTATAATTTTGAATTTTGTTGTTCTTAGGAATACTTATAATAATCTGAGTTTTCCACTCATTGGGAATTAGTTCACCTTCTTTAACCTTGTTGTATAATTTTAGTAGCCATCTTAGCCCTATTTCAGGTAAATGTTTTAACATATTAAAGTTAATATTATCAAGACCTGGTGATGTGTTTTTCTTTAAAAAAAGACTATTTTTTAATTATGTGAGATTGAATTCACTAGACAAGTGATCAATGGTCTGTAATTCAAAATCCGGTTCAATATTAGTTACTAAAAGGTTAGTTAATATCTCATAACTTATTTTTTCATTGGCAAGTTTATTGTTTGATGGTTGAGAGAATGCATTTTTAAATTTTCTTATAGTTTGCCAAATAGAGCTGATGTCTACATTTCTATTAATATTCCCACAATTTGAACATAATTCATTCCATCCTGGGCACGTTACATCAGGATCATTTTCTTCATTCCCTTTTTGAACTTTGCGCAATGATTTACTACATCATCATCATCATCATCATCATCCAGCCTCAAGAGTCCACTGCAGAACATGGGCCTCTTCCTCATGTTTCCAACCTCGTCTATCTTGCGCCGCTCTTATCCAGTTTTTATTGAGTCTTCTTAAATCGTCAGTCCATCTTTTAGGTGGTCGACTGACGCTTCTCTTGTCTTCCCTTGGCCTCTATTCCAATAACCTCTTTGTCCATCGCCCATCTGTCATTCTGGCTATGTGTCCTGCCCATCTCCATTTTAGTCTGGCTATCTTCTCGATGATGTCAGTCACTCCGGTTCTTCTCCTGATGTCTTCGTTTGTTATTCTGTCTCGGAGAGTTATTCCTAACATGGACCGCTCCATTCTTCTTTGCGTGACTCTCAGTTTGGTAGCTGCTGCTTTTGTTAAGGTAAGTGTTTCTGCTCCGTACGTCAAGACTGGGAAGACGCACTGATCAAATACCTTTCTCTTTAGGCATGTGGGCAGCTCACTTTTAAAAGTTTCTCTCAGTTTTCCAAATGCTGCCCACCCAAGGCCGACTCTTCTCTTCAGTTCATGAGTCTGGTTATCTGTGCCAATCATAATTTAATGTCCCAGTATTTATATCTATCTACGAGTTCTATTTCTTTCCCACCAATACTGATGTTCTGGTTGGGCACCAAATTGGTCATGATTTTTGTTTTCGAGATATTTATATTTAAACCTACATTTTCTGTAGCCACAATGAGTTCCTGTACCATCTCTCTTGCCATACCTAGATCTTCAGCTATTATAAGTATATCATCGGCGAAACGTAAGTTGTTTAGATATTCTCCATCTATTTTTATTCTCTTTGTCATCCAATCCAAATTCTTAAAAGCATGTTCTAGCACCGTATTAAAAAGTTTAGGTGACATTGGGTTTCCTTGTCTAATCCCCGTTCTATTTTTATGCGATTACTGTTAGTATGTAATCTGACAGTTGTTGTTGCCTGCAGGTATATTTTGTATAATAATGTAGTATATCTATAATCTAGCCTGCATTCTTTAAGCGCCTGTAATATTTTGCTTAGCTCAACTGTGTCAAAGGCTTTGTGAAAATCGATAAACATTAGAACTAGAGGTTTATTGTATTCCACTGCTTTCTCTATTAGGGTTTTTATACTTTGTAGATGGTCATTTATTCCGTAACTTTTTTGGAATCCTGCCTGTTCCCTTGGTTGATAAGTCTCTAATTTTCTTTCCATTCTCTTAACTAGTATTCGCGTAAACAACTTATATATATGGCTGAGGAGGCTAATCGGTCTGTAATTCTCTAAATTTGCTTTGTCTCCTGCTTTGTGTAATAGAATCATAGTAGCGTTG